GGGTCTCCCTGTAGCCTCAGCTGTCCTGGAACTCACTATGTAGACCAGGCTGGCCTTGAACTCATAGAGATCCACCTGCTTCTGCCTCCCGAGTGCTGTGATTAAAGGTGTGTACCACCATGCCCAGCTCTATTCAATATTTTTAATATTTATTTTATTTTATTTTTTAATGTGTATGAGTATACTGCCTACATGTGTGTAACTGCACCTGCTTTGTGCAATGCCAAAGGAGGTCAGAAGAGGGCATCAGATTCCCTGGAACTGGACTTATGCACAGTGTTAGCTGCCATGTAGGTGCTGGGAATGAAACCCTGGTCCTCTGCAAGAGCAGTCAGTGCTCTTAACTGCTGAGCCATGTCTCCAGCCCCTATTCAATACTCTTAGACTGGATTTGATTCCAAGTAATTGAAACTTGAGAAAGTTCAACTTCAGATAAGGGGTTGCCGTGTTTCCCTATAGCACTGGACTCAATCCCAATAACTGATTACAGTTTCAATTTATATCTGTGGAATGAGTTAGAATTGCGCCTGTAGGAGAAAAACCTTTCTAGGAGGGAGTTGGAGGCGGGATATCAGAGCCCTGGGGATTTGATAGAGAAAAGTCCAGCCTATCACAGCATTCTGTCGCCAGGCGGCGCTGGGACAGCCTCAGACTCAAGCCGGGCCTCCACTAGGAGGCAGATGTTCCTGCAAGGCCTTCTTCTCCTGCCAAGTCTTCAGGAGGTTGCTAGCTGCAGGGACTCTCCTCAGCAACTGATGATGTGGACATTCTACACATCTACGATTGGTGTAACCTAAATGACATGGGCAACTATTGGAAATGCGCTGTGGAAACGTGATTTGAGGATCTGGAGGAGCTGGGGACCTGGGTCTGGGGTGACAGCTCCTACTAACTGCAGACTGTGAAGATATGGATCATGAGCAGAACCCAGGAGCCGTGCTGCGGTGGCTGCTACACCTTTTGTGGCTGCCCCACTCCTGGGTGGTCCCTGCAGGTGAGGCAGTGGCTTTCCCTCATGTCCATCCTGAGGGCGGGAGAGCCCAGGGCATGCACCTGAGCATTAAAGAAATGAAAGAAGAGCCCTGGGCTTTAGGAGCTGGTGGGAGGGTCTCTGCGGTTATCAAAACAGTAGCAGAACTGGTCTCCGTGCATAGCTGAGCCCTGCCGGTGTTGACAGCCTCAGTGTGTGTGTGCAGAAGTTGTTCTGCACACTATGCAGGCGAGGAAAACCAGATTCAGCTAGTTAAAAACGTGACCTGTGCAAGTTCACATAGTTGGAAAATGTTAGGCATGGGGACTTCACGAAGTAGGTGTTCTTTTCAAGCCAGGTGTGGTGGTGCAAGACTGTAATCTCTGCTCTTGGAGGGTAGAGCCAGCTCGATCAGGAGTTCAAGGCCAGCCTCAACTAACTTGACAACACTTGTCTCAGAAGTCCACTAAGAGTTATTTCCATGCTCCCTCTCAGGAACCTGCCCTAGTCTGTCATCCATTCACCCTGTGATTCTTGAAACCTTCTCTGTGAAGGTTGGGGCAGAATGAAGACTGGGCAGTCTGGACGATCCCCTCGGTCTTGGGTCTGTAATTCTGATGTTGGTTGAAAAGTTTTCTGCTGTCTGGGAGATTCCTGCCAGGAGTTTCAAAGAGGAATATTATTTCCTGCAGTCAGGGGTCACTTCCCCCAATCTTGTCAGTTCAAGGACTGGAGGGTTTAGGTGAGGGAGTGTCAGAGTCCAGGTGCCAGTGAAGTGGCCACGGGGTGGGTGTGGGGCTGAATTTCAGAGACTGGCTTTCAATTTCTGTGTGTATCTGGGGCATCCTGGGCAGTGAGATTATGTTTTAGGCAGCCTGTGACCTTTCCCCTTCCAAGGCAGGAGACACATCAGTGACTTCTGAGACTCCATGTGGCTGAGGCCTTATTAAATTAGACAAAGGCATCCCCTATGGGGGGAGTGAGCCTTGTGCTGGGGTGCTTGACTTGGTAGTCAGAATGTAACCTGGAGTTTAGTACCCACCTGCCTCTGTGCCTGGAGCACAAACACACAGCCAGCAGAGTGACTCTGAATCTGTCGCTTCCGCTGGCGGACTTCTGCTTTCTTTTTTGTCCAGTTGTTTTAGACAGGGTCTCATGGAACCCAGGCTGGCCTTAAATTCTTTACCCAGCTGAGGATCCTCCTGCGTCTACCTCCCAAGTGCTGCATGACAGGTGTGAGTCATTACACCTGACTGTTTTTTTCTTTTCTTTTTGTCTTTTTACATCTTTAGATAGTTGTCTTTTGTGTGCAAGGGAGATTTGGAGCTTCCTTAATATACCCCCCCTTCCGCCCCTACACTGGGAGGAGCCAAGCAGGAGACGGAGAGGTTCTACCACATCTCTTCCCGTGAAGCAGACCTTGCAGTTTCCTAACGTGAAGAGAAATCAGGAGTCTCCCCCCTCCCTGAACCCACCCTGTCTCTGCAGCTCCTACCCCCGAGTGGAGGGCCGACCTGCAAAACCACACGTTCCGGCACACGTTGTTCTGCCAGGAAGGGAGTCCGGGCTTGGGGCTCACCGAGACCTACGACGAGGACCTGCTATTCTCCTTCGACTTCTCCCAGAACACCCGAGTGCCCCGCCTGCCTGAATTTGCCAGATGGGCTCAGGATCAGGGAGACAGCACAGCCATTTTATTTGACAAGAACGTCTGCGAGTCGCTGATTGGGGAAGTGGGCCCTCAACTTGAGGGGAAAATCCCAGTGTCCAGAGGTCAGGGGGGTTTTCAGGGAGTTGGGGGCTGGGGGTCTGGAGGGCTACAGTCTTACCCCCCAAGACTTCTTCACATCGTCTCTCATCTCCCCTGCTGTGAGCTGCTCAACACCTTTCTTTTTTTTTTATTTTTTTTGTGTGTGTCTGCATGTATTGCCTGCATGTAGGTAAGTGCATCCATGTCGTGTCATGCAGTGCCTGAGGAGGACAGAAGTGGCTGTCGGATTCCCTGGGACTGGAGTAACGGACAGTTGTTAGCTGCCATGTGGGTGCTAGGATTTGAACCCGGGTCTTCTGCAAGTGCAGTCAGTGTTCGTAACCCCTGAGCCATCTCTCCAGCCCCTAGCACCTTTCTTTTTTACCTCAACAGTTGGTTTCCCATCAGCTACAATCTGCGTTTTGCTGTTGTAAGGAAATAGTTTAGAGCATGGTGCAGGCATTGAAAACCATCGATTGAACTTGATGAGTTTGACAGGGGCTGGTTGATCCTATTGAATATTGCACCTGTATTACTGTGCTTACCAACATGGAAGGGAGAAGGCTTTTACCTGGCTTCCCCTCCTCCAATGACTTACCAATGACAAAGAAGGCTTTTTCTTTGATTTATTTATTTTTATTTTATGTATATGAGTGCTTTGCCTGCATGTGTGTACATGCATCCAGGCATGGAATGCCTGAGGAGGTCAGAAGAGGCCGTCTGATCCCCTGGAACTGGAGTTACTGATGGTTAGTAGCTGCCACGTGGGTGCTGGGAACTGAACCCAGGCCCTCTACAAGAGCAGCCAGTGCTCTTAACTGCTGAGCCATCTCTCCAGCCCGATCCCGTGTTTTAATGAAAAGCCAGTGATTAGGAGCCAGCATGGGTCTACACAGGAAGTACTGCTGGAAGTCAGGGCAGAAGTCAGGGCAGATGGGTCCCCAGTGGCCTCTAGCTGCAGGTCTTGACTAGGAGACCCCTCTCACAGCCACAGATATTCTCTCATCTCTCTATTGACTCCGTCTCTGCCCTCCCCAAGCACCATGGTACTATCTAAACTTGTCCTTTCTTTCCCTGGTACCCCCAACCCCTACCAGGTTTTCCAGTTGCTGAGGTATTCACGCTGAAGCCTCTGGAGTTTGGCAAGCCCAACACACTGGTCTGCTTTATCAGCAATCTCTTCCCACCCACCTTGAGTGTGAACTGGCAGCATCATTCCGTCCCTGTGGAGGGAGCTGGGCCCACTGTTGTCTCAGCCCTCAATGGACTGACCTTCCAGGCCTTCTCTTATTTAAACTTCACACCGGAACCCTATGACCTTTACTCCTGTATGGTGACTCATGAAATTGACCGCTACACAGCAATTTCCTATTGGGGTGAGACCTCTTCCCTTGGAGTCTGGTCCTTTGAGGGGCAAGAAGGGACAGGCCCACAGGGGGAACATTATTTAGTCCATTCTCACTATCGACAGTTCAAGCTTCCAATCTCAGTTCTCCCACATTACCTCAGATACCCAAGGTATGCCCTGGGTGGAGGGCTCCCCAGGCAGGTCTGCAGGCTGACCTCCGTGCTCTGCTCTAGTGCCCCAGAACGCCCTGCCTTCAGACCTCCTGGAGAATGTGCTATGTGGTCTAGCCTTCAGCCTGGGTGTGCTGGGCATCATTGTGGGCGTTGCCCTCTTCATCTGCTCCCTAAAACCTTGCTCAGATGGTAAGTCAGTGGAGGAGGGAAAGCCAGGTAAAAGGATGTGAGTGTGGGTGTGCCAGGATTGTACTGTGGCCTGGGGGGACGGTGCATACAGTGGTGGACAGGTCCTTGGGTGGAGGGGCCAGTTTCCAGCATAACGGGCCACATCCTGCTATCTGGTGGTCCACTTATGCCCAAGTTATGCATCACAGAAATGGCTTTGCGGACGGGCCACATGACGTGGGGACTTGTAGGAAAGACGCTTGGAGATGATTTGGGAACAAGATTAACCTCAGTTGGGTGTGCTGGAGGCAGAGGGAGACTTTTGAGGAGGAGGAGATCCTCCTGCTGACCTTCCTCCATCCGGCTCTCTCCTCAGACTGATTCTTCTGGACTAGAGTGTGGAGCAGCTCCAGCCGGCCGAGCAGAGATGCTTTAGGGAATCTCTCATCCCAGCAGAAGTCCCTGGGGCTCCAGGGTGTGTGTGGGGAGGGGTGTGTGGACCTTGCAGGTGTCTCTGCTGAGGTTCTGCTGACCCTGGGTTTGCATCCAGAGAAGCCCAGATCAAGGCAATAAACCTCATTTCTTGATACCATCACAACCTTCTCTCTCTTCCTCCCCAACCCCCAACCAGGCAAGCACTCTCTCCACACCCCACCCCAGTGTAGCATTTTTCTAAACTCATGGTATTTGCTTCTAGATACCTGAACTTGATTGGGTTTTCATTTCAAATTCAGCATGCCTTAACCTGGACACAGCTCGCCCTCACTAGAGAGGGAGATTGGGAAAACCCCTCACTCCCCAGCCAAGCTCTTGTTCTCTGTCCGCAGCATGACAATGACTTTTTACCTCCATCAGCTTGTGCAAAATTCTAGAGGAAGGCAGCACTGTAATCTGCTCATAAGACGCTTGAGGAAGCCGCCAGTGTTTTTGCCCCCGTGTCGCCCCCCAACTTTGCTGTTAGTGAAAACGTTTATGGCTAATGCCCATTGCTCTGGGGAAGACCTAGTTAGTGGGAACATTTATGGCTAATGCCCATTGCACTGGGGAACACCTAGCTCTCTGCAACCGTCAAGGTAGCTGGGAATCCAGGAGCTCAAAGGTGGAAAGCTGATTTTCTGATTGGTTGTCAGTCCTGTGCAGACCTCCTTGGTGAGGCCCTAAAGTGACATCGGTCCTGGCTGATGGTGGGAGCAGGCAGCACATGACCACTGGTGGTAAACCGCCCTGAATGCACTTTATTCTTGGCTTTCTGTGGGGTGTGGGAGTTGCTGTGGAGGACGGCTAGCATTGAGGTTAACAGTGAGATCATTTTGGTATTGGCAAGGCAGTCTCTGTGTTTCATACTGTATCGGAGTCTAATCCAGGGGAAAGCATCTGACCCTTCCCAGGGGTTGGTTCTTCCCGTGGACCACTTCATTTATAAGATCTGCGTGTACCAGTGAAGACACAGGGCTCCAGAACCAGACCAATGCGGATTCAGTCATGACTGTCAAGCTTTAGCTCTGAGTTCTTGGAGTTGCTGACTGTCTTGGTGTCTGTGCCTTTACTACTGTTTTCAGTAAAGGGTGATAATAAAATTGCCATCTGCCTTATGGAGTTGATGTGAATGTAACGTTTGTTTATTTTTGTGGTGCTGGGTTTTAAACCCAGGACCTCACGCATGCTAGGCCAGTGCTCAACGATTAAGCTATACCCCCAATTCTTCTGTGAATTTTAAATAAGTTGACATCTGTAGAAGGCTGAGGACGGTATTTGGTGCATAGAAAGAAATGCATAATAATGCACGAACTTCACAGAACTTGGCAACCTGTCACCCTTTCCTTTCCTTTAATTTTCATGCAGTGTGTGTGTGTGTGTGTGTGTGTGTGTGTGTGTGTGTGTGTGGAGAG